AAAATGACTTAAATATGGCCTGCTAATAACTAGTTATTATTCACCTATGAAATATTAGCTTTTTTTTCTCCAACTCTGAAACTGACTTGCAAATATAGATTATACACAGAAAAAGGCTATGAGGAAAAAGAGGACTATTAAAATATACCTAGCCAAGACTCAAAATGAGACTGAAGGCAATGCCTCCCATTTAAATCATTTAATTCAACTGAAAGTTTAACACAAAATACTAAGATTTCTTTGGACATAAAATTCCAGGTTATCAAATTATTTGGATAGCAAAATTTAGTGCTGTAAGTTAATTCCAAATATTCTCTGTTAAACTTCCTGCCAACTGTTACCATGTAAAGGAAGAAAAATCATTATTTCAACATGGGTCTTACATGAATAAGCCTATTACTAAAAGTCATGCCTGCTTACTGAAAAACCCAAATAGATTTCTGCATATCTCAATACTGCTCAACTGTGAAAATGATGTGATCAGACATTAACCTTACTAGGTAGTTTTGTTCCCCCTGAGTTAGCAGATATAACAAAAGCACACATATGTACATTGTTTCAGGTCATTTCAAAATAATCACAGAAATGTAGAGATGAAGACAACTTAAAATGATATAAGTATTTCCATCTTCTTGTTTACAGAAGTGGAACCGCAAACTCAAAACAGTTGGGACAGGCCCAATGTCTCAGACCAACCAGAGGCTACGACTGAGTCTTCAAACTACTAATTATACTGAAACCACACAGACATCTTGCCCCTAACATAAACAGGCAATACCTTCTTGTGGCCTAACCAATGAGTCATCCATAACTGGTTTTTAAATAATAAAAAAAGTTAATAACAGATACCATATAACTATATTAAAATATGTTAAAAATATATACATATATTGTACTAAAATACATGCATACCCTATGACCCAGTAATTTCACTCTTAGGTATATACACATCAGAAATGCATGCATGTGTGCAGCACAAATGCTCTAGAATCTTCATAGCAACATTATTCAAACCAAAACCACTCAAATGTCCATCAATAGCGGAATGAACAAATTGTGAAATATTCACAAAACGGAATACTGATCATTAGTGAAAATGAGCAAACCGCAACAACATGCGGCAATGAGGGTGAATCTCACAATCACAATTTTGAGCCAAAGAAACCAGACTCAAAAGGGCAGACGATGGGATTTTGGTTCTTAAGTAAAGTTTACTTAATTATATGTGGACATATTGCCTATTAGGCTACAGACATCCATAAACACGTGGACAGATACGTGTTGAATATGTGTATGAAATATAGCTATGCCCCCCGCCCCCAGTAAAGGAGGAGGAAGAGACTTCTGCTCTTTTCTTCATACTCACTCCTTGAAACACAAGCTTAAGAGAGTGCCCTTCTCACCGCCTCCTTTTCCATCTCAGCTAAAAGTGAAACTGCCAAAGGCCGTGACTGAGGCTAACTCAGAAGGAAAGTTGTCTCATCGTTTTTTCAGCCTGCCATTGTGGATATCATAATGGCAAATCATATGGTTTGATTTTTTAATTCATCTTCCTTCCACTGAAAAAATCCAACCACCAACTTCACAAAATAAACTCAGGATTTCAATAAAAACTCAGTTTTCCAATAAAACACTTTTGAATTTCTGATATAAATATGCAAAACAACACAGGTAAAATCAGGCCTAATTTACATCTGTAATATAAGTTAGGACATCAGGACAACATGATCTTCTTGGGTCTGAATCCCTCTTCCTCAGAAACCCCCTAATTCTACACATTAAAGCAGAAAGAAGAAAAGCGGAAAGTGGAAGCTCTACCCTCTCCATTACCTTATTCCTGCTCAAGAAGGCAGCTCCCCCTGGTTACAGCCATTCCAAACTGAGAAGTGGAAAAGAGTTCCTGAGCTGCCTCAGGTGGCATCTGAAGAGCTCATCCAGACCACCTCATTTCGGTCATTCCAAATTTTAATGTGATACCCATTACCAGAAGCAGGCACACATGTAGTTTTTTTAAGAGATGACCAATATACAGCGTAATCTCAGCAAATTACAAAATATATTTCTTTTTCAAAAATGCCACTTTAAATATTATCAAACAGAGATGTAAAGTGCTAAAATTTTTTTTAAGTAGAGTTTTAAAAATACACAGATATCAGGGCCAGCCGGATGGCATAGTGGTTAAGTTCGTGCGCTCTGCTTCAGTGGCCTGGGGTTCACTGGCTCAGATCCTGGGTGTGGACCTATGCACTGCTTATCAAGCCATGCTGAGGTGGCATCCCACGTAAAAGAAGTAGAAAGACTTACAACTAGGATATACAACTACGTACTGGGGCTTTGGGGAGAAAAAAAAAAGGACGTAGATTGGCAACAGATGTTAGCTCAGGGCCAGTCTTCCTTACTTAAAAAAAAAAAAAGACCACACAGCTATCCCATAGCACCGTTTGAATTCTGCCCATGTGAATTTATTAGCTATTCAAAAGTTAAAATACATTTAAATGTAAAAATAAAATAAAAGGCCATCAGCAGCTGCATTAAATGTGTCTGTTTTCTATTGTCTCTAAAACAAGGCAGAAACACATGAGATTCAACAATAATTTCTTTCCTTTAAGGTTTCATTAAAGGATGATTAAATTTAACCCTATTCAGAGATGTGAAATGTTGACATGCTACATTATAACCACTCAGAGAAATACAAGGTGTTAGGCACAACCTTCTGAGCTCCCGTGACAGGTCATTAACCAAAATATTTGATCCTATAGCCCACAATAAAAATAGAAATCTTACCAGAAATCAGACTGTTTAGGGGTAAGAATAGGCTGAATGAGGATTTAAGTCTGGTTTTTTTCCCCATCTGTAGTCAGCACCAGATGTTAGAGGCTGAGATTAGGGGCGGGGAAGGAAACTTCCTCTTTTAAAACCCAAGAACTATGCTTTTTCTCCCATTACTGCTTATTTTGAGTGACAGTAGGTGTGCAAACATACAAGGTTTCAAATGAAAAGTTGCAGCCTAGATGTCAGACTCTCCTAACTGTGAGTGAGTGTGGGTGTAAGGAGGTCAGCAATTTAGGGAGGTATTTACATTTTGGTTTGGTTTGGTTTGGTTTGCTTTGGGGATGGGAGGGAGGGCACCACAGAGAAAGCCAAAAGGTGATTAAGCTGCACCCCTCAGAAAAGCACCATAGAGGGGCTGGAGCAAGCAGCAAGGAAACCCAGTTCCTTTTAAAGAAACATCAATACTCCTAAAGAGAAGAAATGGCGAACAGGTCAAATGAGACCTCCAGGGTAATCATTTGTAATCTCTCAAGATCTAATAAACAGCATGGCTAGATGGAACAATGAAATGTATAAAAGTGACCAGAGTCATGAAGATGAAAATGTAGGAAAGAAGAAATAGCAGTGAGAGAGAAGAACATGCAATAAATAACGAGAAGGAACAAAGAAAGAAAAAGTTCCCTGCAATTGGGGAAATGAAGGAAAAATAACAAGAGGGAATTAACAAAATAAATTAACAAATAAAATAAAGGGCAAGAAAAATGAAGAAGGATTTTAATGTACAAATTATAAAAGAGAACACTTAAGCAGGGAAAAGCTATCTTCTCGCAGGCTTTACATTTTTATTAACTACATATAATGGGCATCATTGGTATGCATTTGTTAACTAGATGAGGCTAAACCATGGCATCATGAAGTTTGTTTTAGTACCTTATATATGCAGATTGGTCCCATCCACAATTAAAATACTTATATAATAAGCAAAAAAAAAAGGAAGGCATTCCAGCATTTGATTCAGAAATAACATTTCTCTATGTTATCTCTGGGAAGTAAGACTATATACAAGCGATTTTTATTTTATTGTTTTGTTTATACTCATATATTTCCAAATTTTCTATAATGAGTACGTATTCACCCTATAATCCAGACAAGAATAAAATATAGTCTTAAACATTCAGTTTTGAGGTCCAAGGCAGACAGAGCATGAAAGAATGTTCTCCTAGCAACTAGGATTTTACCACACATCTTGAATTGGTGTCTACAACAGTCACCACTCCCCCACCCACACACACACCCTGGATCAGGTGTGTGGATTTAAGGCTAGTGCTATGACTGATGAACCCACTGCAAGGAAGACCCCTCCCAAGACTCCAAAATAAGCATCCATAGAATCATATTTTTAAAACTATGCTCTATTGAAATATCTCAAAATCTGAACCTGTCATTATTGTACCCATTTTTGCTATAGATCCACAATTTTTTTTAAAAAATGATATACCCAAAAATCTTTTTTCTGCAGAAGGCAGGAATAAAACAGTTCTCCGTGATAAAAAAGAGCAAGATGTTAACATAGTATCACAAAGATAATTCTCTTCAAATGTCCTTTTTCTTTTCAAAGGCTATCTATCTTGCACCTTTAGGCCATTTATAGTCTATGAAGAATAAACAAGTTATAATCCATCCACAAATATTTTCTGAATAAGTCACAAAGCACCTACGAATTCCCCCCATCCCTGTGCGCATGTGTTTTTGCAGAGTGACTGTTCCGTCCACCAAGAGGTGGACTCTCTTGCTCCATCCCTTTAATCAAGGCTTGGTCATGTGACTAGCTTAGGTCAATGAGTTGTGTAAATACAACAGAAGCAAAGGCTTGCACAGCTCCAGTGCATTGGTGGGCCCCTTCTCCTCCTGCTGGGAACCATTACGCAATCATGTGAACATGCCCAGGCTCTTCCTCGAGGATGAAAGACACATGGAAAGAAGCTCCAGCCATCTAGCTGAGGCCCCAGACACACAAAGTGAGGCCATCCAGTCACAGCTGAGTGGCTCAGCTCACAGGATCCCCCCCACCCCCAGCCAACCCAAAGAATCATGGGAAATAATGAATAATCCTTCTCTTAAGCCTCTAGGTTCACAGCAGCAAAAGCAAACTGACATAGACACTAAGTGCTAAACACCGTAACAATATCTGTAAAGCACCTAACACAGTACCTAGCATCTATGATTACCTTATAAATGCTAGCATTTTATTCTTTCTTCTAGGTCCTCCAGAGAGCGGAAAAAGCTATGGTGATGCTCACCTTATCACAGTGTCAGAAAATCTGGAGGGTTCTTAAAACTCTGATGACTGAGCTCCACCTGCAGGGTTTCTGCTTCAGTGAGTCTAGGGTGGAGACTGAGAATCTGCCTTTCCAACAAGTTCCCCAGGAGCTGCCGCTGCTGCAGATTCTGCAGGTCGGCAGAGCACACTGTGCAAACCCTAAGATTTACAGTCCACGTCATTCGTTCAACAATACTTCTTAAACACATCTATATTCAGGAAGACGCTGGGCTAAAGACTACAGAGAAACAACAGTGTAATAAGTAAAGCAGGGCGCAGGTGTTGCTGGGGCTAGAGGTGTGCCTAGAGGAAGGCTTCTGGCTGTGTGTGTTGGGGAAGTGAGGAGATGTGGCTCAAGGATGACAATCACCTCACACCCTCCGTCTGCCCCAAGAGTACCACACACGTCTGCTTCCCAAACATATGAGGCTATAGAGTTAGCCTATAACATGTTCTCACTATTTTCCTCCTTTTCTGACATTCTGAAAATTCTATCAGACAAGGCCAGTGCAACCTTCTAGAGAATGGCCTAGGTTTTAAACACAAGCATTCATAATTCCTGCTGTAGAAATAATGACATGGAGTTAACCTGGCCTGAGGCATTTCAGTTGGATTCTCCTTTTGCCTAATTTGCTTCCAGAGAGTGTGCCCAAGTTCTAGAATACAGGAATGTGTCTAATTCCTAGTGCCTAATTTCTACTATGTCATGACTAAGGTAATGACTGAATCTGAGCTATGAACTTTCACATTTCCAGTGTTAAAAGAGAAAATGTTTGCCATTTTCTGGATGAAGAAGCCAAGAAACATAAGTTTGTGGGTACTTCTGACACGACAAAACCTACACTTTCCAAAAATACGTGATGTCCTGGTAAAAACATTTGACTACAAGTCCAAAGATCAGAATTCTGGATGTGTTCTGTGGATCCTGGACAAATCACTTAACCTCCTTGGTTTGGGCCTCAGATTCCTCACCTGAAAAAAGGAAGTTGGTGACCAGTGATTCTCAAATTTGCCTTTGTGTTACCATCACGTGGCTGTTTTGTAAAATCCTCATGCCCAGGCAATATCCTAGAACAACTAAATCAAAACCTCTGGAGGTGGTACCCGGATATCAGAGTTGCTTATACTCCCCAAGTAACTCCATTGTGCAGCCAACGTGGAAAACCACTGAGTGAGAGATCTCCAGGTGCCTTCTCACATTCGCTGGCTCCCATCACAATCACCTGAGGAGCTTACAGATCCTATCACTGCCAGGGGCCACGCCCTCCTAAGTCAGTCCGGGCCTCAGAGGGTATCGAGGCACTGGCGTTGCTATAAAAGCTCTCCAGATGATTCCGATGGATCGCCATTGACTGGGACTCAAAGTCAAGGCCCACATGCTTAATTTACAGAAAAATTAACCTTAGAATGCTTTAACTGGCAAGCTCTTATCTGGTTACAATACGGTTGTTAACAAAAACCTGGAATTACATACAAATTTCTAGGAAAACAAAATATATACAAAACCACTAACCACAATCCTGTGAGCCAAAGCAATATCCCAAGAATTATCCTACTGATAATTCTGGAATAAATCCCTGACATGATCTGACTTACTGGGAAATTACAATTACAGTATATTAGCAGAGAAATAAAAAGAACACATGTAAAGACATAATTTGAGTCTTAACAAGCTACTGCACAAATCAAATTCAGTAAACAAATATAAAAACAAACTGTGAAAGTCAAATGCATACTTTATTAAAAACGTCAACCCATTTGGCTTATTCAATCACTTGAAGAGAGAGAGAAAGAGAAAATGTTACATGTTAAAAAAAAAATCTCAGGAAGAGATTTAAACATTTACACTTCTTGGATCTTGAATGTTTGACAAGTTCTCATGAAAAAAAAATTTTTAATCATTCATGACTTGAGCATGTGGAAAGTCAGATTTAGAGGGAATTTACCCTTTCTTTGGTGCTGAAATACCAGATTATTAATAAAAATAATCTTTAAAGCACCCAGGAAAATAACAATAAAAGCAGCAGCTATTATTACAGATTATGGTCTATAATGTTAGTCACTTGCAAAATCTGGGTACAGGAGGCTAAAATGACACAATTTTAAATACTGTACTTACAGAAGTGGGAAAAGATAGTATTTTCAATGAGAAAGCATATAATATTTTTAATATTTCAACGTATTATAGATTACTCAAAATATGTTTAGCCACTTAAAAGACAATGAACTCAAAGGTTAAAATGAGTAATCCTCTAACAAATGGCTGGTCAAATTAGTCACTTAGCCTTTTAAGTAAGCATTAAGCATTAAGACAGGTCTGAACAATCTTAATTTTCATTTTGTAAAGAACTTTGTTGGGCTTAACCACATCACTGACTTCATTTACATGACATGGTTTTCTTCCTTCACTCCGTGTGGTATGGGGAACAGCGAGGGGACTTCCTAAAACGGGCTGGGCCTGCCCACTGCCCATCTTGAAGGTGCGTTTACAATTTTGTTGTTGTTTTAATATGGGCTAGAGACAACTCTAAGCTACTCCATTGCTAACAACAGCAACATAAACTTTGTTAAAACTCCTAAGGGTTAAGAATTAAGAATAATAGGATTTCCTCAAAAACATGCTTCAAAAATGGCGACCAGCTGAGGACTCCACCTCTGTCAGCATGACGCTTTGAGCTGTAACCTAGCACAGCCTCCTGAAAGACCCCAGGATGACTGGGGGAAGGTGAAGAGCTTACCTGGATTGTAAGAGGAAGGCGAAACAGATTTCTTCAAATACATAAAGGAAAATATACATACTTGAATCAGAGATGATAAAGAATATCAATTTGCCAAAAATAATTAACTGAATCATATTGATAATTTTCGAGATAATCCTGTAAGCAAGCCACTAATGTGCCATAAATCTACAATCCCTCCAGGAGAGACTCCCACACCCCCACAGGCCCACATCAGGCTGGCTGTCAGATTGCCGCCCTGCTTCATCTCTTGGCCCGTGCATCTAGCCTCCCTCCTTACTGCACCTTCACACACACGATCTGCAGTTACCTAAGGTGCTTCTGTTTCAGCCACTGGGGTCCCTTCTTCTCACATCCAGTCCTCTCCAGCTGGAACAGTTCCCAGTTTGCTTTTTACTCTCACTAAAGCCTCCTTGGCCTTATGCAGAATTGTTCATGTGCTTACACATATCTTTCTGAGAAAAAGAATCCATGGTCTCTACTAGACTCTTAAAGGTGTCTATGAGCCAAGAGAGATTAGGAACTAGCGCTCTCCAGAGCTGCCGACTAAAAGCTTAAGTGAAAGTTCTGTGCCGTGTGGGTGCCAAATACCTAAGTCACACATGCAAACACTTGCTACCAATGCAGGTCCCCAGTTTCCAAGGGACTTACCACCAGGAGCAAAAGATGAAAAGAAAGTTCAAATCCCAAAAGAGCCTACCCATAAAAATCATCACATGTCCCTATGTTTTGGGAGGCAAGGTCAGAAGAGAAAAGAGGAAGATGTTTGCCTGGATCCATCGAGACACACTTTCAATCTGCACTTCAGGCTGCAGCCAGCTCAGCGGAAGCAGCTCAGACATTTATACTATCAGTGGATTCTACTATTAAATTAATTGCTCCCTAAAACATTTAAAACACATTGGAACTTTCATTTAGTAATGGAAAAAAAATTTAGTGAAGTTAGCAAGGGGCTTAACATATGAATGAAGAAAATATTTTCTTGGCAGTTATAAATACATATGTATATATTTTAATACAGTATTCGATTTCGTCAGTTGAATTTAACTGCTTTATTCTAACAGGAGAATTCTTTGGCTGAGATACTGAGGGAGGTAACATCTAAACCTGTAGTGCTGATGAAAATTAAATGAGAGAATCTAGCGAAGTCTTTACTCCAGCCAATGCTCGCAGGCACTCCGTTATGCATAGCTCTCATGCACAGTCATTTGATGGACAAATTTTGGTTAGTGAAACATATTCACTGAGCAAGCAATTCCAGGTAATTTGCTAGTTGCGATTATTGCAATGTGTAATTTTTACTTGTGATAATGACCCAAGAGATTTAGAATACACGATTTGTAGAATAATGAAGGAAACTCTACGTATTTCTTTAGGCTACTGAAGAAGAGAGACTGAATTTATGAGGCCTGAGATTTATCTTTCAAGCCCTAATGTACAGCAGTTTGTAGGTCTCCGCTTCCCCACCGTAACTGCTATTTGCTATTAAATACAGCTCCTTGCAGTGTCGAGGGCACCAGAGAGACCTCCAGGGTGTATGTTCATGGAGCGAACCACCTCCTCAGGACCCTCAAAGCTCAGGACAAAGGAGCCCCCTCAAGCACTCTGTCCCTGCCGTCCCCCTTCCTCGAGCTGAAAGTCGGGGTGGAGGGTGCACAGTGGAAGGCCAGCTCAACCGTGCCCTCCTCAGCTGTGTCCTAGAAGTCTCGCAAGTGCTAGTTGTAATTATCCGTTCTATTAGTCTAACAGGTGGGGTGGGTAGTGGGAGGGAAAGCAGTGCCTTCTTAGTCAAAAATCAAATTAAGATCATCCTGAAGTTGATTAATATGACAAAGTTAATAAAGCTGGGGTATATTCTCTAAGATAATGGAATAAACTTAAATTTATAGTGGTATACCCCTTGAAGTGGCTACCTGTTTCTTCATTATACTCTTTTTTTCAAGTTACATTTTCCCCTCCAAAATGTACTGCTGGCTTAAAAATATTTGAAACTAGGAGCAGTGCCTGGAACAGGCAAGCCATGCAATGACAGGAGCGCTTTCTAGGGCAGCGCTGACAGGAAGTGTCCCCCATGCAGCCAAGAACCTGTGCTTCTTTCTCTTAAGCTACAACTGTACTCCACGAACTTAGCAGTTCTCACATAGCACTCTGACTTCACACAAACTCCCTAACTCCAACATTTTTAATATGTACAAATGTAAATGACTGAAAAAAAGCAACTTCCTAAACCGGCACTGCCCTACATGGGTGGTCACTCAGCACACGTGCTGTTCAGCAATTCAGATGTGCTAGTCTACCCAGATCTACCGTAAGGGCAAAAGCACACTGCACTTCTGAGACTTAGTATGAAAAAAAGGTAAATATTAAGAATTTGTTATATTGATTACATGTTGAAATGATAATATTTTAGATATTTTATTTCAGGTTAAACAAAATATATTATTAAAATTAACTTCATCTACTTTCTATTTTTTAAATACAGATACTTGATAATTTAAAATGACATGTGCCTTGCATTATATTTCTATTGGACACCACTGTCCTTTAGCTCATCTGCTCGCACCTTCTGTTTTATCTGTTGCTTTATTTCCATTTTTCTTTAGTTTCTGGCTGCTCCTTAAGAATCCTTGAATGCACTTAGATATTCTCCTGTAGCAGAATAGAGTCCCTCTGTCCCTGCTCCGTAAGTGAGAGAGCGTTCCACTTCTAATACCCTTCACTGCCAACTACCTCAAAAAAAATAAGCAACTCTACATCCAGCAGCTCCTCTTCCTCACCGCACAGTAACTTCTACATCCACCACCACAATAACTGTCCTCAGAGTCAGACTCCCACCACCTCTCACCCAAATGACAGCCATGGGCACCCATCGGTTCCCCTGCCTCCCTTTTACCCCCTGATACATTTCCATGCTTTTCCTACGATCATCTTTCTAAAGGTAGATCACTTCACTCACCTCCTGAAACAAATGTCAATGGTATCCTAATTTTTATAAAGTTCACATTTCTGAGCATGGTATTCATTCTCTCTAGCCTGAACTGACAATCCCAGCCTTAATTTTCATTACATCTCTTCTTAAAACATCTCAGCCAACTTCTTATACTATTACTTGGAATTCCCTGGAATGCCAGGTACCTTCAGAAGCCCCTCTCATGACACATGCCATTGCTTCAGACTGCAGGACTCCTCCCTTGCGCGGTGCTTGCCCAAATCCATTCAACCCTTAGTGAGGCCATCACCAGCCCCAAAGCTGCAATGAACCCCCCTGCTCTCTAAGCCCCATCCACTCTGCCAGGATCAGCAGTGCAGCCTTTATATTTTTTCTTCCCTTGAATTATATTCACCTATCTGTCTCCTCTGCTATGATTCTTTTTTAAAGAACAAAAGAATGAAAGAGAGGAAAGGAGAAAGGGAGGAAAAGGAAAAAAAAAAAAAAAAAACAGAACAAAAAAGATTCTTAAGGATAGGAAGCAGGTCATGTTAACCACCGTGTTCCCACAGCACCCATTCCCATGATCTGCACGTAGCGGGGACTCAGTGGGATAAACGTCTGCTAAATGAGAACAGTGTGAATGAAATTTGTCAAAAGGATAAGTGTTTGCTAAGTAAGAACAGTATAAGTGAAATTTGTTCCAGTTTTATAAACTCAGAAATTCAAAGAGATTTTTAATTCTCACTTTAACATGGCATTACACATAACATGTGTTGAGTTAATGAATAAATGAATTAACTTCTATATACACTCAAGACACCTTCTGCCCGGAGAGGTCTCAACAAACATAACTGTCCTTACCAAACAAATGATATTTCAGGACAAGAAACTCAGCCCTCCAAGGGAAGCTGCCTCTACTCTCAAATATTCACCAAACTTTACTTGAAAGCAAAAGTAGAACTTGTTATTTTATTTATATGGTCTAATGAACTGACTCATTAAACTTCTCATAAAGCCGGAGTGAGTATGCAACCCCTATCTGCTCTCAGCAAGCGGATTTTTCTCCTTAAAGGTCACAGAGCCATGAGGAGCCTTCACCCCTCACTCAGCTTTGCCAACAGCTGGCTGAGAAGCAACTCAAAGAAAAGAGGTGCCACAGGAAACAGCATATGTTCCACCAGGTTATTTTTAAAGTTAAAAATTAATGGGTAGAAATTTCAAAAAGAGACAGCGAAAAAAATCTGAAAACTGTTAAAATATAGATCAACAAGATAGAAATGTTTAGAAACTAAATCTTAATTTACCAGAATTAAAGACACATAAATGAGGCCAATTCCAGCTATGGATTTGTGTAAAACATTCATTGTTGCTTCCAAAAATTTGCAAAAAAAATTTTTTTAAAGCAACTTTCATTTTCATTACAAAACTAAAAATGGAACTATATGAACTACTAAGCTACTGTTATAGAGCTGTTCGGAGACACGAATTAAGACTCTTTTAGGCTTACTTGCTGTCTAACTATGATAATGACTTAGTTTTGATTGAAACAAATACCAAACTAAATATTTATGTCAATTAGTGCATAGGGCGATGCATCATACATATATCTACTAGAGTACCATTATACAAAGGGAAACTCCAACTTTTCTAAGTAAATTTCTATTGATACATCCAAATTTCACTGAAATAAATTTTACCAGATAAAATTTTACAGAAAGGTTAATCACTTACTTTCCTAAAGATTCTAGTTTTCATCAAAAACTCATGATGGGTAAAGATATCTTCCATTATTGACAACTGAATGGTTGTACTAACTAGCAGTGTAATCTGGTAAAGAATCCGGAGAATTGGGTATATGTCCGGTAAGCAGTTTTAGTAGTTTTATTTGTGAAATAATATCACAATATTCAGAGAGACATATACAATTAAGGGAGAAATAACATACATATTTCCATAAAATATATTACAAATACATAAATAGATAAAATATATTTGTATAAATACATTTATACATATATCTTACAAAGAATAATAAGAATTTACAATCATAACACAAAAATCTTATTTGCTTTAAACAGAAAGAAATAAGCAACTGGGATCCTTCTCAAGATTCTGCTGTCAGTACAAAGATTATTCAGAATTACTGCTGTTGAAGCAGAATCTAACCTATCAATACAGAGCTAGAAAGGACTGCAGAGATCATGTGGTGTAACTCCATGAATTTCGAGATAAGTAACGCAGGACACTTGCCTGACATCACACAACCGGTTGGAAAGAGAACCAGGACCAGAAGTGGAATCTCAAGATACCGTAATCAGTTCTTGTTCATTATACTATCACTGTGTATGCAGTAAATCAG